GGGAAGAAAGCGGCAGGCCTCGAGTTTGTTAATCGCGACATACCCGGAGAAAGCACCATTAGCCGCCTGGTCATACCTTTCCCCGTGTTGTGTGTATGCCTCTTGCGGCTTCAGCCCAGCAAGAACCCTTCGATCCTGGTTTTGTCAGGGGACTCTTCCTCGACGTGTGCCTTTTATTGTGTAAATGGCTGGGGGGCAAGGGGAGCAGTGTGGGGGGATACATGGTCTCATTCAGGCTTCCTTAATGGTCTGTTGATGTTGTGCTGCAGATCTACATCATGGAGAAGCAAGTTCTTGAACCCTCTGAGGAGCGAACATTTCAGTACCAAGATTTTCTGCCTTCCTTGCCATTACCACCTCTTGATGAATCTTTAAGTAAATACCTTGATTCAGGTAATGACTTAATATTGTTACAGTAGCATGGTGTGTGCTGTGGTGTTTGTGATCTGTAGAGATAGATTTTATCAACTTATGTAATTGGGGTGGGGGATCCAGGCAAGTGTAGAGTGCAGAAGGTCTTTTTCAGCTTCAAAGCAGGAAATGAAGTGTCCAGAGCAACTTCAGTAAGAGTTGCCATTTAATCCCTATTTGCCTTTCTTCCAGAGAATTGGATATCTAGGGAAGTTAAGTTTTTGGTTTGAGGGTTTTGGTTTTTTTAGGGTTTGTTTGGGTGGGGTTTTTTTTCCCAGCTATATCAGCTGGTGTAGTAAAAGATATTTATCCGTCTGAAAGTTGCATTTTACATAATAACTGCATTGCTTGTCTGTGACTCTGCCCCCAATCTCTGGGGGAAAAAAAAAAACAAACAGTTATTTAAAACCTTTTCATACTTAAATGTTCTTATTTCTCACCAGTACTATTAACTATCCAGTAGTAGGAAGAGGCAATGGTGGGCATTTTTGGATAATTTAACTTGGATAATTTCTGCCTTAGAATGTTTGCTGTCTAAAGGTCAAAGTCTTGAAAACGGTATCAATGCACGTGTGTCTAACTTTGTTTATAGAGCAATCGTGACTGGTTAGTCCTTAATATCTTATCAGGCTTTCATATATAGGGGTTGACAAAGATACATTACCTTTACTTTCCCATGTTTCTTTACTAGTTTTCAGAACTTGGAGACATTGAGTTTTTTTCTGGAACATCTTTGTGTCTTGACATCTTACCTGTAAGGCTAACAGAGTAAGACTCTGAGTTCTCTCCTTAGCAGAAACATATTACAGCAAAATTTCTCTTTCTCAAAGTTGAATTTGTTTGCTTTTGAGTTCCCTTTTCTTGTGAGTGTAGTGGAAATGGCCCAGTAGATAGTAATAAGTTTTCTTTGGTGTTCCTTACATCATCGCTTTTTGCTGCAGAATGTTGAAATGGTGGTTTTAGAGGAAAAAATGCTGTATGTGCATGCGTGTCAAAAGATGTCTTCTTTTCATTGTAATGCAGATCAGCTAAAGTTGTGCTGTAGTAGTGAACCTGCAGTAACAGAATTTCTGTTTAGAACTTAGTTTTGTAAATCCCCAGTCTCCAAGGTAATAAATAACTCTCATGGAGTGACAAAACCTGATAGTGAATTTGTTTTCTGAACTATGTTTTCACAAATACATGTCCTTTTTTTACCTGAGTTAACTTCCTTGTACATAAGTCATTCTATAACTTCATCATTGTTTATCTCCTTTAGTCTTGCTGGAGGTTGGAGGAAAATAAGTCTGGTATTTGTTGTTCTGCCCCTGTCTTCCCTTGTACAAATCACTTATAGTCAGAACATGCACAGTTCTAGACGCTAGCTCTGTGATTCTCTTTGCTGAAGCTTGTAATTTTTTTAGTCTGTGAAGGTGAGTGGAGGAAAGGAAATGCTTCTGAAGAAAAATTCAGAACCTCTAAATGACCCTTCATAGATGCTGTGAATCATTCCTTGGAAACTCCTGTCTTTCATTGATGGGATGAGGACCCCAGGCACTTAACATTAGTTAAGACACCTGTTGGTAAAGCACTTGTCTGTTTAAAAGCCAATCAACTGGAAAAGCTGGACAGAGTGTGTTTCGGAAGGTGCCTTGTTAGGGCTTTACAGTAGCTACCTCTGCTTTGGATTCAGAATGACTAATCTTGTTTTAAAGGTAGGCCTTGAGCAGGGAAGGTGGCTGTAGCCAAGTTATTGAGCCTTTCAGCTCACCCCAGAGGTTGACACTTGGAAGCTGGGACTTGACCTGAGAGTATGAAAACCCAAAGTTCCAGCTTTCCAGAGGATTCCTTAACTATGCAACTGAAGGTGTCTTTCATGGGATGCTTCTTGTTCATGGAGCTGGTTTCCTATGCAGAAAGGAAGACCAGGTCTGCAGAGGGATCTGGAGAAAGTGGCAACACAGAAATTTCACTCAAGTCTAGTGGGAAAAGGGCTGAGTTCCGCTACTTCCTCGTAGTGCTGCTAATCACATAGTTTTTAAAAGGAAAAGAGGCCCTGTAGTCATAAAATTGTGTAAGTTGGGAAGGGTTTATCTAAGCAGCCTTCCAATATCTGAAGGGAACCTACAAGGATGCTGGAGAGGGACTCTTCATCAGGGACTGTAATGATAGGACAATGGGCAATGGGGTCAAACTTAAACAGGTTTTCAGCAATTGCTTTCATCTGCTAACATCTGTATTTATTCGAAAATATGTATTTATGTTTCATTAGAAAACACTGATCTACTTACAAATTTTTGAAAAGGTGTTTTTTCTTCAAGTATTTGTTTTAGAAAGATAAATCTTGAGTATTTTCATCCATTCTATAACCTGTAGATACCTGAATTTTGGAGTAAATCTCAGTATATATGCAGTTATCTTTAAAATAACAACATTTCCTTTTTACAGTGAAGCCATTTCTTAATCAAGAAGAATATCAAAGAACTGAGGATATAGTTAAAAAATTTGAAAATGGGATTGGGAACGAGTTGCATCAGAAATTACTGGAAAGAGCTAAAACAAGAAGGAATTGGGTATGTATTTAGATAAGTAAGAAATCATAATTCAACTTCTGGAAAGTTGGTTGTTCAGGATATAATTTAGCGAGTCATTTAGCTTTTTTTTTAATCTTAGGTTCTTCCTTATATCTGCCACTTTGCCTATGTGTATGAACACATTCACTCATATATGTGTGGTTTGTTTTTCCCAAGGTTGAGTGGCTAAGAGAACTCACTAACTGGAATGTTAAGTTACCTGCTGGCTTTTTGAATGATTTGCCTGTCAAGCTCTTTCTATCACCTCCATCCCTCCTCTCCCCACCCAAAAAAAAAGAAAATGGAATTTGGAGTTTGGTCCCTGACATTTTCTTTCCTGAAGAACGCTACATGGTAGCATTTTTAAAGTTGTCTTTCAACAAAGAAAGGAATATAAGGGGGGTTGTTACCAAGTAGAATTCACAAGAACTTTGTAAATCTTAACAGAGTGGGGGTTTTCAGATGAAGATAGAAAAAATACATTAGGAATTGTCTGTCCCAGGTCCTCTCTCAACACAAATCTCCTTTTGTTCCATTCTTCACAGAGTCATCTGTCTGATATTCGCATCAGCCACAGCTGACATCTGCAAGAGTTTAAGATGATGAGTATTGGGGAAGAACTCTATATCATAATTTACAGTTTAATAGTCTTAAGCAGTATGGGATTTTATTTCAAGCTTGAAAATAGAAGAGCTAGATATGTTGTTAGCCTCAGCAGTTAGTTTTGAACCACTGTCCTGCCTTCTGTTTTATAGGAGCTACTATTCAAAATATTAAAAAAAAAAAAAGTTAAAAAAGCACATAGTTGAATAACCAGGTGATTATTAAAGAATTAATGGCTAAAAATTCTGATGCTAGACACTTTTCATTTTCAGCTGGAGGACTGGTGGCTGAATGTGGCTTATCTTGACCTTCGCATATCAACGCAAATACACTGTAACATTGCAGGCTCTGGTCCCTATATTGAACACTGCTGGCCACCGAAAGAGGGCACTCAGATAGAAAGAGCATCTATAAATATATGGCACACCCTGAAATTCTGGGATCTGTTGCGAATGTAAGACTTTCAGAAAAAATAATTATTAAAATTCTAATGATCTATGTGTGCTTTAGTTGCAAAAATATGTTTATGTTCATGTTTTGCAGTAAAAGATGGGTTTGTCTTGCCTTGATTTACTTCCATAATTATAATCTTTCTTGTTTAATTTTGATTTGTTTGTTTACTACAGAGAGAAGGTGCCTGTTGAGAGATCTGCAGATGCTGTTCTGGACATGAGCCAATTCCACATGCTCTTCTGCACTTGCAAAATTCCTGGAGTTACCAGGGACTCAATCAGCAATTATTTTAAAACTGGTAATGAAATGCTTTTGTATTAATAGGCTAGTGGAGTGGTCATTTTAACCATAAAATACTTGCTTCCTCAAGATACTCATTGAATGCTTGTATAAGGAATCAAAGAAAATGTCTAATCTGTGGATGCTCTTTTTGGTCCATTATTTAGTCCTTATACAATAGATTAAAAGAAAATTCTGCTTCAGATTGTATGTTACCAGCCTGATACCTGTAGTAAGTAAGCCGGCATTAAGAACTGAAAAATGACAAACTCCATGGATTTACAAATGTGGGTGGATTCCTTGTATTATATGGACAGAATATCAGCATCTTTACTAGTTGCATCTTTTTCCACAGAATGCATTTCTTGAGTGTGCTCTTGTACATCCTGTTGGAATAATTCTTACTTATTTTCTATCATTGTGCTGTTTCTTGATTTGGTCAGCTTCTTGTGTTTTCAGTCTTCAAAGTACTCCTTAATGCTTCTTGAAGTCATTCTCTTAAACTCCAGGTTTTCTGGGGTGCAGGATCAAGAGCTAGAGTAAAAGTGTACTGTTGTTATTCATCCTCCACTAACAAATACTGTAGTATTAGTAACCAGCTAACTGAAATCGTAACACCTTTCTCACAGACATTCTGATGCATCCAGAGTTGTTTGGCACTGTCACTCTAGATAATCACTGGAGATGTGAATTCCTGTAAGACTCAGGAATTCAAGAAGGAGGAGGTATTGTCTGGTTCCAATATGTAAGGAAATCTCCATACCAGATGATATGATGAAAAAATGCAAAGTTGGAGGCAAGTTTCAAGGGTTTTGTCTTAGTGCTGCAGTTGAAGAGTCAGTTTAAATATCAAAAAATAGAAGAAACATTCAAACAGTGGAAATTCAGTTTATTCTGTTATGATCACACTTAATACATGAAGCTATTATCCCGTGGAGATACCTATGTGCCTTTTCTGGGTCATTAAGGTATGCGCGTGTCTTGAGATAGAAGGAATCACCATCTGGAGAGGGATCTTGTTTTTCTCCGTTGGCTCTGGAGAGAACTGATAGGGTCTAAACACTTGAAGTAGTACACACTGCAGAATAGAGCACCTAAAATTTGACAGGTAGTGTCAACTGGGAGTCAGAGACCACACTAAAAGCCAAGAGAGCCTGATCAGTGGAACCTGGAGAGCTATTTGGTTCAGCCTGCAGCAGATGCCTTAACGAGAGCACATGAGTTCATTAGATGGTAAGTGTATTGGGTAGATCTCTGCCAACTGTAGTGAGATCATAAGCGTTTAATTCAGCTGTATTTTCAAACATAATTCTACTCCTTGCTTCAGACAGCTCAGGTTAGGAGGATGCTACGAAAAGTAACTGAACTTTATGTCATCCCTTCTGATTTATGTTAGAAATCAATTTCATAATGATAAGGTTTGTAATGAAATGACAGATCCTCACTCTGATCCTCACTCTAGAATGTCTTTAATCCAGTATCTATTGAATTGTGGTACCTGATTTAGATAGTAGGATCGTAAAGATAAATGTAAAAGCTTTATATATAAGATTAAGACTTCTGTGGATGCCTGTTCAGTTACATACTGAAAAAGTGGCATACATTTCTTTGGGTTTTGTTTGGGTTTTTTTTTCCTTCAGGGCGTAGTACTGGACTAGAAGAGCTGTAGCACAGTGGCTCAACTTGAGAAAATGTAGCCATGTTTTTGATGGTTTTAACATCTGGATTTTGTCAGAATCTTTTCCAACTTTATTTAGTCTTATTTCCAGATAGCTGGTGATGCTATGCAGACATACCTGGCCTAGTATGCGCCAGTGCCATCTGCGTTTTTGTGGCCAAATTTGTGTGTCAGTGTTCCCTTTTTACAGATTTGCACGTGCCCATCAGGTCATGCAGGTCATGATAGTGCACCTCCAATCTTGAGGTGGTTGCTAAAAATAACTGAAATTCATTGCATTAGCAGTGACAACTGAAAGACTGATCATTTGCAAAGTGTCTCTGCAGCAGGCTTGCTGCATTGTATTCATCCCTTTTAAAAAGCAAATAGAACCATGCAAGAGAGAAATGTTGCTCCATCAGCTTTCAGCAAGCAACACTCATTTTGGCAGAGAGTGTTCCTGCCTACAAGATACATAAATAAATGGTACTTGCTGCTGGGTAATGACAATGACTTGAAGTAGTTAATAACAGTGAAAGTTGTTTCTGTATATTTTCTCAGATGGTTTTAAAAATGTCTTCAGATTTGCAATTGAACTTCAAAAGTTCAATTTTTCTTCTTTCAAAAGTTCTTTTTTTCTTCTTTCCTGTTTTTAACTGTATGAAGTCTGCCTCATCTTGAATGAATTAAAAAAAAAAAAAAAAGGGTCTGCAGGACTTGCTTGTTTTTCCTGCATCTCACTCTATCCCTACAGATGGATTTTCATGTTTTGTTTTTTGTTTCATTTCAGAGACTGAAGGTGAATGCCCATCTCACTTAGTAGTCCTGTGTCGAGGTCGAGTGTTTGCATTTGATGCTATACATGAAGGCAATATACTGACACCTCCAGAGATTTTCAGGTTTTCAAACTACCTTGTTTCAAATGAGCTGTCCTATTGAAGTTACATAACAAAAGAGAGTCTGTCTGTTCCCTTTGCCCCAAAGAATTAGGTGTGAGAGAGGCTACAGCTTCTCCTCTAGCTGAGGGTTCAGATTTGAGTAAATTTTTATTTCATGGATGGCAACTTCTTGCCATGAGGCATGATGGTCATGTACTGTTGTGATACACTCATAGAACATCATGTAGAAGGTTTGGATTAAGGTATTTCAGTAGGAAATATCACTTACGTGAAGTTTCTTGGCATGGAATTCATAGGATTTTAAGTAACATTCCTTTTGGGACCAATCCACGGTGATAATTGTCTCATAGCTGCTTAATCATTATTAAACATAAAGCACCACTATCATACAGATTCAAATCTAATATATGTGTGGTCAATTTTCTCTAGAACAGAGGGGCTAGCATTCCTGTTGGTGAGTGTAGCAGTCCAAAATCATAGATTACACTAACTGACTTCCTGCTAGGTACACAGCAGTACAGCAGCATTTCACTTGTATTTCTTGTCTTTGCACCAGACCTGTGACAACCAGCCGTGGTTGTGGCTCTTCTGATATTCCTGAGCTGCTGCAAAGGAACAGAGAGAAAGAATTTGGTTCCTTAAATACTAAATTTCAGTACTAGTGCAACTGGCAATGCTTAAAGCTTTTCCATGCTGTGTCTCCTATCTCCCAGTAGTATATGGAGGTGCTGGCTTTTCAAATTGTCAGTGCAGTTGTGGCCACAAGGTTTCCTACTTGCACACAGAGGTAATTTCAGCATAAGTCTCTTGTGATTGATTTTGGATCTTTATGCATCTACTTACTAAAAGGGTTGTGCATTTCATCTAGGAATAACTTACTGCATTTGTCAAAGTGCTGTTTGAAGAGCAAAACAGAAGACTTGTAGTTAAAATTGGCAAAAGGTGGACAGCCAGAATCCTTGAGTAAGGTGAAAACCAGTTAAAGAAGCTGAAAGATCACTGTTTTTTTGAAAGTTCTGGTGTTTTGATACTTGAGGTTTTTCAACATCTGTATTTCTAATTTCTATAGTTGTACCTGTTAGATCAAACAAGTAACAAAAAAATGAACATCTGAAATACAGGCAAAACCCCCCTAAAGCTTCCTATTGAAGGGGCAGGTTGGTTTTGGTTTGGTGGGCTCTTTTATTTTTTTTTTTTTTTTTTTTGGTCTTACATTTTTGATAACTTTAACTGCTGATTAGTAGTGAAGTTTAATGGGCAAGAGTGCCAGAGCAAAGGACAAGCCATGTTAAGCAGTTGTAATTTGTGGAGTTTCTTTACCACCAAGAACAGCATGTGGAAAACTGAATTTACAATCTAAAAATGAGCTGTTAATAGCTCTTCAAAGGAAAAATGCAAGGAAAAGGTAGGAAGAGAAGTATTCTTGTGTAGTTCAGTGTCTACATCTAGGATGTACTGTAGCTGCTGTTCTGATTTAAATTCAGGGTTTGTCCTGAGTGGAAGTTTTGTCCTTGTATCTGACTAGCTGCTATAAAAGCTGTAAAGCTGCAGTACTGCAGGTGTCTACTGCTTGGGAAAGGTTTACCTGTATTGCTGAAGTCTTCAATCTAGTTTCAGATTAAGTGCATAACAACACTTTGGGACAACGATTGTTTACATGCAAGTTTTTACTGTGCTGGTAGCTGCAGTTTGAAATAACTGTTAATGACTGAGAACAGAACAGGTCTTCAACTGCTCGTAGAGTCTGAGGCAGCTGATGCGTGCTCTCTGAAGATTCACATTAGCTTGTGAATGTGAAATAAAAATTCCAGCTTGGCAAAAAAAGAGATATTAAAACATGACTTTTATCTTCTCTCCATATATTCTTTGCTAACTTCAGTTTTTGAAATCTTCTTAAAGGCAACTTACACATATACAGAAAACATGCCATAGTGAACCAGACGGACCAGGACTGGCAGCCTTAACAAGCAGTGAAAGGACAAAATGGGCAGAGGTGGGAATATTTCAACAGCAGATTCCTGAGAAGAGCATTGTGATCACTGGAAATATATAATTTCACTTAGCTTTGTCTTCTTTTGCTTTCTAGTTACGTGAATATTTAATTAATCTTGATCCAAAGAACTTAACTCTTCTGGAAAAAATTCAGAGAAGTTTGTTTGTGGTTTGTCTTGATGATTCTAGTCCTCATGCAACGCCTGAAAACTACACTGAGGTAGCTAGAGATTTTTGATAATTCATAACTGGTGGTCTTTACATAAATATTTCTTCTGCATATATGTGAAAGTAGCACTTCTTGCTCTTTCAGAACACAGAAAATGAAGCAGATAAATATGCAAATAATGCTTCTTATTGATACTTCTTATTGATCCATAGGAATACTTAAATAGTTTGAATTTTTACGACATTGGAAGTGGGAATGTCTGAAATCTACCTTCATTATGTTTTAGTCCTCTGCACCTCGGGGTCCTCAGAAATACAGTTGTCAACTTGTTATCATCCAGTAATTTAAAAACTTGGGCTTATAATCATGTTTCATCTTCAACTGTATACTCTGTGATTTTTAAAACCCACAGTGTGCAACTTCTGCTTTAGGTTACCAGGATGGGGCTAACAGGTGATCCAACTGTACGCTGGGGAGATAAATCCTACAATAGCATATTCTTTTCCAATGGAACCTGTAGTGCATTCTGTGATGTAAGTTGGAATTTTTTTTTCTCCCTTATGAGTCTTTCAGGTATTTATTTACTCGGTTTTCCCTTTCAGAGTAGTATTTTAAATGCTTAATGTGTTCCTCTGTAGTATAGCCTGGCTTACCAGGCACCTTTTCTGGCAAGTTTCCAAAAGCTTTCACAGTGTTTGGTATTACACTGTAATTGAATTAAGAACATGAGATCTGAAATCATAATCTTATTTCTAAAAGTATTTAATGAGGGAGTTCCAAAGGCACAAAGTACATTGCACAAGCAGGTTTAAAATTAACTCTTTCTATGATGTAGCTATTTGAACAGCTTTGGGTTTTGAACTCAAGATTTTTTTAGTCACTGTTGAGTGGCCTGAAGGGTTTACATCTGCCCCAGATCTACTTTTCCACAACAGTGGTAAGTTGTGCCTCCCTGTCTGCATGGCTGCAGAGCAGTCAAAACAGTGGGTGGACTTAGAGTAGTTCTGTATGCATTGTAGAACTAGAAAAACAAGTCCAACACTGTGCTGTAAAGCTTTGGTCTGCAGGAAAAAGAGTGGGTTAGGGGAAAAAAGGAATCTATTTGTTATGCAAATAATGTGGCATCTTGTTTTATATGATTCTAGCATTCTCCTTTTGACGCCATGGCTGTAATTTCCATGTTACATTATGCCGAAAAGAAGATTATTGAAAATGAGGGAAAATGGAAGGTATTTATTCTTTAAACTTTCAAGTTTATTAATTACTGTGCTTTTTCTTATGGATAACATTTCCTGTTTTCTTTCTGTCCACATCCTTGCAGGGATCAGATAAAGTGAGGGATATTCCATGGCCGGAGGAACTTGTATTCACAGTGGATCAAAAAATCATAAATGAAATTGGATGTACTAAAGAATTCTATTATAAAAAGGTGGAATTCCTTGCTGCTTTTCTTAACTGTCACTGATTTTTATTTTTTTTTGTTTCAATTCTATTTACGTGTTTTTAGCTGGTCTTTCTCCATGCTGGAGAATAGGAATTAACATCTTGATGATTACTCGATGAATCAGGGGACTTAACACCATGGTTAAATTTGTTACGTTGTTGGTTTATGTTGAGTGTGTTTTATTTAAGTGGACCAAGTTGTTATATTTCTTGACTTCTCTGGCTTTTCCTCCTTCGGTGTGACAGGTGTCTGACTTGAAGCTAGTAAATTATGCCTTCACATCCTTTGGCAAAGCATTGCTTAGAAAGAAGAAACTTCATCCTGATACATTTGTGCAGCTTGCCATTCAGCTTGCTTTTTACAAATGCCATGGACGGTAAGAAAATTACCCAGATTAGGAATAAAAAACTAGTTTCTTGAGTAAAGGGGTGGATCTGGAGATGTAATGCAGTGACCTTGCAATGCCAGTATGTACTTTGCTACAGTGGTATAAGAATGAAGAACTGAGGTTTTGTTAAAGTAACAGTCTTAGTTTTTGCCATGGGGGTTGTGCCCTTGGCTTCAGAAGGATTGTGTTCTTGTGCCCACAGGGATTTTGCATGTACATGTTGTGGAATGGAGGGCAGAAGATAGCCCATGAAAACATGAATTTGGACTGTACAAAGTAAATATTTGGGCAAATACCAAATGCACAGTGGGTCAGGATTCTTTAATGTCAAACAGTTGCTCAGGTGAAGCTGCAGCATGAAAGCCATCAGTAAAGTGGTTAGTTTTCCGTGCCTGTAAAAAGTCTCACAAATACCAGCGTCTCACTTTCTTTAGCAACATTAGATGTGAACGTCGGGGCAGAATAATAGAAATACAGATAGCAACCCTCCAAATGCCTGGTGCTACATTTTTGGGTGTGTAATTTTATTTTGCATTGATAAAAGGCAGCATTCTTTGTGGCATTGGTATTCCCAAATTTCTGTTTGCTAACTAGCATTGATTATAGCTTGTCTAAGTCATAACTCTAACCTGGCAAGTATTCCTTGCTTCCAAAAGAGAAGGGTTTTGTCATGTGGGCGTGATGCTTAATCACTGGAGATGTGTATCTCATCATAAGAAAGGCTGATAGATCTCAGTTTGCTGAACACTGGAATAGATTAATTGTCCGACTGAAGTAGCCTCTGTAAGGTCTGTTCTAAACACACAAATAAGTTTAATGTAAGTTGTATATTAAATAGTAGACTGTCATAGGGCTGGGGATGCTCCAGGTAAAAGCTGGGTGGGTGTCAGCATGCAACAGAGAAGGACTTGAACATTGGGACACACTCCTTATTTCAAGTGTCTCTAATTTTTGAGGTTTCGGATGGTGTAGATGGTTTCATTAAGGAAATAAATAATGGAACTGAAGCTTGCATAATTTCAGTTTTTTATACTAGATTCTGGTAGATCTGTAGTCTGCAGAAAACAGCCATGACAACACAGTCTTTTTAAAGGTATAATTATAGCACTGGCACTTTTTCAGTCGTCTGGCTCATAAAAGCTCGTAGACTTCCTTTGTGGCTCTTTTTCAGATACACAGTTTGAAGAAAATTGGTGTCTTACTGGTACTTGTAACTGATCTAGATGTGTGAGATACTTGGCAGGGCTTTCTTTATTCCTTGAGAGAGCAAATAATGAAGTTAATGAGATACTCTTCCCTTATTTTTCTTCTTAGCCCAGGCTGCTGCTACGAAACCGCCATGACTAGGCGTTTCTATCATGGCCGTACAGAGACTGTAAGATCATGTACTATGGAAGCAGTGGAATGGTGCAAGTCCATGCTGGATCCTTCTGAAAGTGTAAATACTGAAATCCTTCTTTAATCACGTATTTAGAAGGCCTGTCATTTGAGCTGCTTAAACCACCTTTTTCTGTTGTCTCATTAATGGGAGTAGGCCTGTTTCCACTGAGATAGATTTCAAATGTTGGGTTGCTCTGGTCCTTGTGGCTGAGGTGAGCTGTCATGTGTGGGTTTGTTTGGTTTTGTCCTGTTAACCTTTTGGTTGTAAGAATGTAAGTGTCTTGAGTTACACTCACACTGATTTTCCTCCACCCCC